CTGCGGGGAGCGGTGACTGACAGTCACCACTCTCTGCAGGGTCCCAATTTTTTGGGAATTCGGGTTATATTTTTCCCCATGTTTACATACCTATGAATGGGCAGTAAGCTGCCCCTTGCCCCTTTGCCATGGTAGACCTTTACATAAATCCAGGCATGCCAATGATACCCTACTTCATTTATTGTGTGGAGCACTGTAATAGATCAGAGCACCACATTTACTGCAGCAATAATAACATTCATGATGGTCAATCCATGGAACGTCAGGGCATCACCGTCTTACGCAATGATTGCAATACGTGACATATAAGGCTTAGTACCTGGCATCTAGGAAGAGAAACGCAGGGTACATACTATACAAGTGGATAGCACATGTATCTAGCCCTTCTCCTCTGGTGTCACAGATCATACCATTCCTTCTTCCTCTTCTCCTGCCAGCTCGGGATTCTTAGCATATAAACAGTAAACAGCTCCCTCTTCCCCTCACATACTTCACATATTTGTGGCTATTTCTTTCTCTTTTTTTTCCTCTCTTCCCAGAATTTGAAAAGGGTCAGATATTCCCTGTAGTTTCTTTCAGCTCATCTATTCTATTCTTTCCCATAACCTCGATGACCTTGAATCATACTGACCAAGGGGAGCAGTGTCCTGTGTCTACTTTTATCTAACATTCCAGTGCTGTGATAATGGTGAGCCCAAAATCTCTGACTTTTACTACACTGTGACCCCTCATAGACTTGTATGAGCGTGGCTTCATAGAGTGCAACCTCTACAGCACTCCCACTAGTAGACACTCAGGCTGGATTTACTCTTTGATAATGTGACTTGCAAAAAGCACACGCTGAAATAGAAAAAAAACAAACATGAATAGACACTTATAAGAAGGGAAATAACAAAAGCTTTTTGTGAAAAAATAAGCCGCGGCCTCGCTGGCCACAAAGGGCAGTAGGTCCATGGGGTATTTCACTTTCTTGGTGAAAGCTGAAGACCACTTTAACCACTTGAAGACCAGGTGTTACACCCCCTTCCTGGCCAGGCCATTTTTCAGTATTTAGCGCTGCGGTACTTTGATGACATTTATTCCGTCATGCAACTTTGTACTGAAATTAAATTTATACCATTTTTTGAGGACAGATAGAGCTTTCTTTTGGTGGTATTTAATCACCGCTGGTTTTTTTTTTTAACTATATAAAGAAAAAGTAGCAAAACTTTTGAAAAAAAAAACTGTTTTCCCTACATTATGGTGTGAAGCATTTATTATTACCTAGTTTTTTGTTAAAATATAAAAGACGGGGTCACGTCAGGTAAATAGACACCAAACGTGTCAAGCCTTAAAATTGCGCCCTCAAAATCAAAACAATTACAATACACAAATTTGGCCATATGGGATGCTTTAAAATCTTTTGCTGCTCATCAGTTTAGTGTTAACAGTGATTGAAAGCCCTAAAATTATTGCTCATACTCCCACGTTCACGGAGATATGCAACATGTGCGGCGTAATGTGCACAATCATCATTTTCACACGTAGGCACACCCAACGCATGTTTGAGTGTGTACATGGGGTCGAAGGACTTTAAAAATGTAGTGTGTTTTTTTGTTATGTGACTTTCATTTTTTTTTTTTACACTTATCTTTATCGTTATTAAATATGGAGCTAAGCAGCCCCCTGTGTGATATCACATTTAAAGTGTTAGGTCCTCTTTATGGAGACACAGGAGTCTTTAATGTCACTTAGGGACCCCCAAAAAAGATGATGATGTTGCAGCCAATCAGGAAGTCGGGGGCAGGTATTGACTCACTTTCCGGCTTCCTGATTTGCCAGTTCCCGACCAGTTCCCGACCAAGTGACGAGGGAGCATGGAGCCGGCTTGTCAGCCAATCAGGAATGCTCCCAATGCCTAGCCTGATACCGGATCTTCCGTTATCAGGAAGCCAGGCGGCGAGTCTTTACCCGCCCCCTGGCTTCCTGATTGGCCGAGAAGCCGCCTCCATGCTCCCTGGTGACAAGGGAGCTTGGAGCCAATCAGAAAGCCGGGCAGAGTGTAATGACACGCCACCCAGCTTCTTAATACTGGAAGTTCGGGATAGGCATTGAGAGCATTTGGGAGAGTACTCGCCCTAATACTCTGTATTGGCACCAATGCACCATATCAGTGCATCCCTACACTATATATTGTTTTCCTATTCACACAGTATACCTAAGAAATATTTATTTGTAAATATTTTTTTACCTTTTATATCTTTGGTGAAGGCCTTCTTGCAGATTCCAGACAGAGCTTCCTCTCATTACTGTACGATCCATTTAAGTCTTTAACCCTTTATTAGGCCAGACTGTTCAAATCTAGTTTACAACAGATAATTTATCTGCCAACGCAGTACAAACAGGGTTAATTAGAGTAAACCTAACTTTCCACAGAATCTGCCTCTTTGATCTTCTAGTTCAAGGGGAACTATTTAGTTCAAGGGGAACTATTTAAGACCATGGTTATCAACATTTCTAGTTTTAGATATGTTCTCTAGTTAAAATTTCACGTTTACTGGAATAATTACTACTTTCATACCACTTAGAAGCCTATTTATAAAGGAAAGAAGAAACTAAACACCCCACAACTGCTTTTTTGTGTTCTGGATTTACCCTGCATAATGCTGCAGAGAGAACACTGATTGGAGGAGAGACTGGTCACATGACTTTGACATAACATGTGACCATCCTATCTTTCTCCCTGCCTTTTTTTTTTTCATTGAACTAATTGACCCTTCCAAGGCAAGCAAAGTGTAATGCATATCTGTAAAGCACCGGGATGTACTTTACAAATGTGCTATTTAAAAAAATAAAAAAAAAATCTAGATGCAAGATTAAGGCTTGGTGTTTTTACATAAACAACTCTTTTTAGCCCCTACAGTACTAATAGACGTGAAAGAAAGTGATGCCATTATGCAACAAGAAATTTTGGGGCCAGTGCTGCCAATCTTAACTGTACAAACACTGGAAGAAGCTATACAGTTCATGCAAAGAAAAGACAGACCTTTAGCAGTTTATGTCTACTCTAATAGCCAAAAGGTAAGTGCAACCCAGCCCCCCTTACAAACGAAGTTGATCATATGTAGGTGCGTTATAATTAATCGATTAATCGAACAAAAACATTTTAAATCAGTAACGGGCCAATGCCTTGGCTGGCGCTCGTGCAGAGTTTCCTGGGCAAACTCACCGGCCCAAGTGGCTCCGTCGGCTAACGAAGGGAAGGGGGGAGGAGTCTGGTGAGGTCTATGTCCGATGGGGACCGATAAAGGACTGCCATTGATGGCCCTGATATTACCTCTCAGAAACTCCAATAATTAGCCCAACCAGGATTGCCAGTTCTGCCCAACAGTTTTAGCCGGTACATAGTCAGATGATCATTGTGCTCCCCTGAGGCGAACTGCATAATTGGAGAATTAATTATGACCTTGTAAGAGGGGATGGAGTAAATTGGGGGAAATTGATGGAGAAACTTCATTAGTCTGCATCCAAAAATTGTTGACATGTTACAATATACAGCAACAGGCTTTTCTGTTAAACAGTCCTCGTGCTCCAGACAACTGACTTTAATTAAGCTGAGATATAGGCAGGAGAAAGCTTTTCCTCATTGCCTCCCTCCCAGCGACCGTATGTTGTAACTGTGGCTCCGTCGGCTAACGAAGGGAAGGGGGGAGGAGTCCGGTGACGTCGCGTACATCGGACTCCTCCCACCTTCCCTTCGTTAGCTGATGAAGCCACTTGGGGGAGGAGTCCGGTGACGTCACCGGATCTCCGACGGAACTCCCGGAAGCCGGCGGAGGGGTGAGTACCGATCACAAGAATTTTAATCGATCAAAAAAATTAACGATTAATCGGGGAATTAATCGTTCATTTCAGCAGCCCTAATATATCTATAGATATATAGATCTATAGATATATATGTATTCTACACACAGTGTGGCAAATAATTATTTAATCCCCTGCAGAGTTTGCCCACTTGCAAAGAAATTAAGTCTGTCATTTTTATCATGGGTGTATTTTAAATGATAGAGACGGAATATCAACCAAAAATCCAGAAAAAAAAACATGATACAATTCATGTTTTGCTTGGGGATCAAATACTTATTTTACTCACTGAACTGCAACTCAATTTATAACATTTGTATCATGTTTTTTCTGGATTTTTGGTTGATATTCTCTCTATAATTTAAAATACACCTATGAAAAAAAGAATTATAGATCTTTTCATTTCTTTGCAAACTTACAAAATCTGCAGGGGATCAAAACATTTTCCTCATTGTATGTATATATATATATCTCTTCAGAAGCTAGCTCATAGTCTACAGATTATATGGAATGTCCATTTTTGTAGCGTCTTAGTAATAGCTGTAAACTACGTGGTGAACTCAGCATCCTGCTAAGAGATAGTTACACAGCTGGGAAATGTATTTTTATTCAAGAAAGTTTTTTTTTTTTTTTTTTAAATATAAACAGGACACCAATACAGGACACATACACTGTAGGGTGGGGTATGCAAGGGCAGCTGGCCTATGTGAGGGAAAGTGGTGAACAAAAAAGTGAAGCCAGGAGTTCACTATCATGAAATAGCAGTCAAAAATGCACATGCCAATTGTACAGCAATGTGGTCAGACACCGCCAACAATTTCCCTCCAGGGAAGAGAAAAAAAAATCTGAGGTCAGCCACTTGCACAGAACTATAAAAAGATGGTAAACCAGTATAAGGAAGAACGTTCACGTTTTTTGATGTGAAAAATTCAGATACTTAGAAATCAAACACTGGATTTAATCCCTCACCAGTGGCCATGATCCCCACTTTACAACCAAAAAGGTATGTCTCTACAATCCAAAAAAATGGAACAATGTCTTTAAATGTTCATCAGATGAAATTTCCATATACTCAGCCTATGAAGTGCTAATACACTGGTACTGGGTCTCAATACTCGTAGCCAAAGGGAACCTGCAATAAAGCGATAAATGCTTCCATGGATGTGGTCATATAGGGGATATGCTTCACATTTAGCAGACCTTTTATATCCTGTTTCACAATATAATATAAACTAGCCATTCTGAAATCCTGGAAGACTGGAGTAGACTTTATGAAAGTAAAACCCTGAGTGAAGATTTTGATGCATTTAAGCTGTAGTTAGGAAGCTAAAATTGTCTTATTTTTGCCTGCACTTTATTTGTGTACCAATGAAACATATTTTTTTTATGTGCTTCTGAAACTAAAATTCTGTCATTTATTTGAAGGTCATTGCAGAAGTCATGCAGAAAACATCTAGTGGAAGCTTCTGCTCAAATGACAACATGATTCAATGTCTGTACACAGGGTTGCCATGTGGTGGAATAGGTTCGTATGTTTGAGCACCTTAGCAGATTGTGTAGAGATAACAAGGCAACAATGACATTTCAGTAAACCAGTAAGATTAAATGAAAATGATATTCCTATTTTTGGCTGCTAACGGAATACATTTGTAGCAGTAGTTAAAAATAATCCTCAAAAGGGATTGTCTGGAATAACAGAAATATTATGCACAATATAAACATGGTAAAGGCTATTTAGAAATGTATCTTCTCTTTTGCTCATTGCTGTTATTTTCTCATTGCTGTTATTTGTTATTAGCCTAGTGTCTAGGAGTTATGATGTAGGTGTAGCTGCGAGAGTCTAGCTTCCTTGTGAGCAGCTTGCAGGGTTTTTGCCCAGTGTGAACTGTTCAGCTGATGGTCAGTCAGTTTCCCCTTTTATAGGCCGGCAGCACCTTTGCTTCGGACGATTGTTTCCTGTCAATTCCTCAGACGGTCAAACCGGGACTGGATGAAGATTCTATGTATGGTGGTTTTTGTCTGTCTGGTCTTCCGTGCATGTGATAGATACTCCAGTTTCCTGATTACACAAGGCCACTTTTATTCTGGTAAAGGATGCTCTTTCCTTTTTAAGAACCTACAGATAAGAAGGCAGAAGCAGTCATAACATCAATTTACATGGTTGAAGGATCCTTGGTGTCTGGTTTTAGGATCGGTGCTTGTTTTGTAAAGGATGTCCTAAGGATGTCGTGGCTCAGGTGTTTTTGTTTGTCCAAATGTCTTTACAAGTGAAAAAAGTTAAGCCCTGAAAAGGTAGTCCCAGCATTCGGGATGTCAGCCAAACATCTGGGTTTGGGTTGTGGAAAGGTTCAAAGGTTCAAAGGTTTCTACTCAAACCTCTTCATGTTGCCCAAGAAGGGTGGAGTACTACCCGTCTTAAATCTCAATGTGTCGAGTGTTTTTGTCAAACAAAAATTCAAGATGGGAGTTGATCCATTTGGTAATAGCATCCCAGAATCGGAGGACTTTCTCGTATCCATAGATCTAAAGGATGCATATCTTCATGTACCCAAATACCAGGGGCACCAGCAGTTTTTGTGCTGCTTGGTGGGGGGAGCATTATCTGTTTATCAGCCTTGCCCTTCTGTCTAGCCACAGCTCCTTGGGTGTTCACCAAGATGTTGGCTGCCTTCAGGTCAAGAGGGTTACCTATTGTGGGGTACTTGAACAACCTTCTATTGAATATGGAGTCTTATTCAGAACTGGAGCCCAACCTATTGTTGTCTGAACTTTGGAAGACTTCAGTAGATTTTAATATTTCGTGAAGTCCTCACTCAGTCCATTTCGCCTTGAATATTTAGGGCTGGTTTTGGATACCAACCAAGCCAAGGTGTTCCAAGGTGTCGTAAAAATTACTGAAACTACAACTATAGGTTTGCCTACTGCGTGTTTGCAGGTGGCTTGTCTATGTACAACTGCAATCAGCATTTGGGTCTCATGCTAATGGCCTTTTAGAGTGATTTCCCTATTCACGTCACCATACCAGAGTGCTTCAGCACAAGATCCTATCAAGGTGATCAAGTTGAGTCGCCTGATGAAATCTATAGTTTGGTAGTCCCTTCTTCCCTGCTACTAGAAGGGAATTTGTTTCTCTCTCTGCACTGGAAATGATGCTAGCCTGCATGGCAGGGTCACTGGTCCACTCGGGGTTCTTGATGCCTGGAGGAATCCTAGCTTCCCATCAATATGCTTGAACTTTGAGTAGTAAGATGGGATCTGTTTTGCTGGACGCACCCCCAGGAGGGAAACTTTGTGCCGGTACAGTCAGCCAATGCCATGTTGGGGTGTATATAAACCACCGGGGGACCAAGAGCACCGTGGCAGTAGCAAGAGACCCTTGGACAGAAGAGATGGACTCATTGGTGGCTCTGTGGAATTGCTAGTTGGATCATGTGCTTACCCCTGTGCTGTGGCTACTACACCTAATTGAAGTCGAGGGGATGCAAGTGATCTCGGTGGCTCTGGATTGTCCCCACGGGTCATTGGTATGTGGATCTTGTTCCTCTGGTAGTGAACGCTTCTTGGCTTCTACCTCTTCAAGAAGACCTTTTTATCTCAAGGGCCGGCTTTACAGCTCTTGGCTTTTAGCACCTGCTAAAAGCCAAGTGCTGAAAAAAACGAGGTGTTTATCGAATGCAGTCATCCACCCCATGCTTAAGGCTTACAAGGCTGTCTGGTAAGAGTTATTATCAAACTTGGGGAAATGTGTTTTGCATTTGAGTCTCTAGGGGTATGCCCTTGTTCTTTCTCCATTGTCTGTCTCCTGGTTTTGCTCCAGTTGGGTTGGAGCAGCAGTTGGCCTTAAGCACAAATAAAGATTCCTTGTTGGCATTGTTGGTCTTATTTTAGTGTCCTTTTGGTGTTGCTGCTTTTCTGCCCCTCTAATCAGTACATTGTTGCTGTGGGACCTTTTTAACCTGGTATTGTTGGTGTTCAGGGTTATTAGGGGGAACCTGTTGCCAACACTCTCTCTGAAAGTGGCTAATACTTTGGCACGAAGAGTCTCTCTATTGGCAGCGTGGTCTTGCAAGCCTCCATTTTTGCTCCTTCATAGGGATAAGGTTGTCCTGCATCTGAGACTTTTTTTTTTTTTCCTGCCCAAGGTTGTATCTGCTTTCCAATAAAGACATTGTGCTTCTATTGCTTTGTCCTGTGCCAGCCCACCCTAAGAAAGTTAGAAGAGAACTTAAATTCTTTGGATGTAGTCAGAGTGATTAGGCTGTATTTGAATGCCATGACTGGGTTTTCTATGTCAGATTCCCTGTACATGAGTTATAAAGGGCCTTCATAAAGGCTTGCATTGTCGACTGCTACTACCTGACTCAGCTCCTGCCCTTTGACTTGCTGCTAGTGTGTGTGTTTAATACTTTGTGTGGTGTGTTTTTTTTTTTTTTAATTTAGTTTGCACTAGGCACTTTAACTGAGTTTTTTGTGTGTGTGTGTGTCTGTCTTTCCCCTAGGCTGTCTCCTGTTAATTTAGTTTTATTTAGTACCTAGCGTCCTACTCCTGCAGGTGGCAATATCCACCAGTAAATGCTGATCTAAAGCAGAAGCTGTGCCTCCCAATAAATACAGAGAAAAGGGTTTCATGTGGAGAACAAACAATCATATTTCAAGGCCTTGAGTTTTATTGTCCCATTTTATTACAAAGTACATTTTTAGGGGTTTGACTATTATCATATGTACGTTTCCACAAAAAAAGTCTGTAAAGCAAGTCTAGGCTTTGCTCATACAATTGGTTGCTCGGGACACTAGCACTGTCCCAAAAGAGCAGCAAAATTCTGTGTAAACTGACTAGGAGCTTACATAGAGCCTTGGTTCTCAACTGGTGGGTCGTGACCCAAAAGTTGGTCGCGACCCCATGTTCAGTGGGTCACAGCGTGCCTTCCACTTTTCTAGGTGAAAGGCTCCTCAGCCTTCCCATAGCGCAGCACTGTCAGTTCTCACGGCAAGCAGCCATTCAAAATATGCTGCCTGGTGCTGAGGGTCAGCTTAATGGTGCTATGGCTATGAGGGAGCTCCATCCACATGTGCATTGCTTACAGCTCCCTCACAAGTCGTGTAGAGGTGCCTGGACCGGAGTGACATCACATTCTGGTTGCCGCCACCTCTATAGGGCACGCAAGGGAGCTGTACCAGCAATGCACATATGGATGGAGCTCTGTCACAGCACAGCAGCCAAAACTGGACCCCTGGCTGAGGATCCACTCCAGTTTTCATAATATAGGGAGAATGAGACTGCATGTAAGTGTGTGAGATTGTGTGCGTCTATCAGTGTTTTTGAGGGCCTGTTCACACTACTACAGTGGGTTAATCGCACAGTTCCATGCAAAATTGCATCTACTGTGAATTCTGGTGTGGGAGATGTTGCATTGCCATTCATTTGAATGGCACACCAAATGAACCTCCTACCTACAGTTCTATCCCCCGCACTGGAACGCACGGTACCGCACCGGTTCCAGTGCGGTCCGACTTGGGTCATGACTTAATAACCAGGGACAAATGTGAGTCCTGAGGCTACACGGGTTGAGAACCACTGGCATAGAGAACAGTAATATAATAAAGGGAAGACAGCATGTGCAGCTGATGTGTGCCTAGTTTTAAAGTGAACCTGTTGATGTGCACTGCTTGGAAAAGTTACAGGTTCACTTTAAAGTACTGGTCTGTAGATTCAGGACTGACCATTGATATTTCCATGACCTATTTCCATTCTGGCTTTATGACATGTTTCTTCTTGTTACTCAGGAAACAGCGGAGTAGGAATCTATGGTGGAAAGTTCAGCTTTGATACCTTCTCACACAGTCGTACCTGCCTGTTGCGCAACACTGCAATAGAGTGCGTTACTTACCTCCGCTACCCTCCCTATGCTGAGAAACAGCTCCATCTCATACAATGGGCCAGCTCACTCTCCAGAACAAACACCTGGTGCAACATTTTGTAACAAAAAAGAATTGGGCGCCTTTCCATAACGCACAACTGGTTGTTGTTGCATTCAGTGTCTTGTGCAGGCATGTGAATGTATGGATGATTTTCTTTTTTTTGTTTTCTTTTATGTCCTGATGTCATATGCAATAATATATGAACTATCTGGGAAGACTGATTTTAAGGACTGGAGGGAAAAATGTGTAGCATTAAACAGACCTAGTTCTTGGGAAATAGGCAATCCCAAGTAACGTAAGAATTGTAAGGCACAATTGTATCCCTTTTGGATTTGATATTCTCACTGTTTCTCTTACCTATTTACTGTATGGCTTTACTTGTGTTGTCACTTGGCTTTTAAAAGGCGAGGGCTGTTCTAGCACCAGAAATGTTTACATTCCATATTTATATTTCTGTATACTGTTATAATATATATTTTCAATAACATAATTTAGAAATTTTCATGAAAGTATGACTCCTGGAATTTATTTGATAATATTGATCCCTTTAATAGTATGCTCCAGCACGGTCTCCAACTTCCTCCTCAGTCCAGCTCCAAGGTCTTCTTCAGGGCATTCTGCTCATTTTCCTGTGGGCTCAGCCTGTTCACATGCCCCACCAGGGAGCATCATCATGCAGGTAGAGCTCACAGTACTCCAGGCCATTACGCAAGCACTGCTCAGTACTTGAAGAAGGGAAAGAGACGGGGATGATGTCATGGGACTGGTAAGAAAATTAAACTTAAAAAAAAAAAAAGTGTGTTTTGGGGCTTAAATTGTGTATGGTGAGGCTTGGGAAGATCTGGAGTTCAGTGTTACTATTTTCATGAATAACATTTGTAACTCAACATAAAGCACTGTCAGCTAAGTTTATGCAACAGCTTTGTGTAGATTGTAAGCTCTCCTAACATTTTTGCACAGACTGTTAGTGCTATACAAATCCTGTATTTGTGACCAACAGATTTACCACGGGAAATTAGACCGATTTTTCACTCTATGGATGCACAAGTAAAATGGTTGGGGTCAGGTTTAATTCTATTGTAATGCTACTTTAGAGCAGCTAAGGGAGGAATTTGTAAATAAAGCTGTCTAATTATTATAAATCTCTCCCATTGCTCTTGTTTCACTTTGCCTTGCTGTGTGAACGAATACGAATTTATAAATATCCCCCATGGAATTTTGTAAGCAAGCAATGTAAAATAAGGATTTTTTTTTTCCCTAGGTGTATTACCACAATTATCTGGTGCTTTTTTTATGTAATATGTAAAATGCAACAATTTTTTAAAAATTAATTTTGTTTTTGTTTAGCAATATGCAAGTGAAGGGATGTCCTCCAATACTGTACCTCAGATGGCCAACATATTATTTTCCGCTGATAAAATATATACAGATCTAAAAGTTTGCTGAATACCCCCAAATTATATCATTTTGTACATGCTATGGTAGCTGCCCAAGTGTTATTAACATGACCTTGATTTAAAAAAAAAATCTTATTGGGATGTAACACGGCAATTCCTCACATAGTAGAGTGCCTAGGTTCACTGGAGTATGATAGTCATATCATGCCTACTTTAATTACTGGATTACACTGATGGTGACATATACCGTGTAATAAAATTTGGGCTTGGGCAAAAGAGAAACTTCAGAATGCCTTCTAGAATTGCTATATCATTCATAACTGTCCTGTTGAGCAGTGTTTGAAGGATAAGGAGCCTAGGTCTGCTTTAACTATTGCAAAATAATGTGTAGTCGTCTTTTCAGCCATACATTTTCCCGGGGCTGCTTGGTCCCCTCTTTTGAAAGAAAAAAAAACCAGCCCACATACCTCATTTCTTCAAACTCTGTGGCCAAGGTTTAATTTAAAGACACTGCTCTTTTTAGATGCCTCATAGTGGTTTGAGAATCGGTATGGCATCATTATACTGACGTGGACATCACAATAACTGCTACTAATTGTCACTTTATCACAGTGATTGACCTCTCAATACTCATTGCGACATTGCAGATAATACTATGACACTAAGTATTATGGCATTATAATATTGACTCTTGACATTGTATCTACAATGGCCTCACAAGCCTACGTGCAAAAAACATTAAGGTCAATCAATTTTTAACATGTTGAATTTCTCTAAGGAGAACAGACTGGGTGTCTCAGCTGTTGATAGAAATAGCTGCTCAAGCTTGGGGGCAATCCCAAAAACAATCATGGTGGTCCTCCCCCCTATGGTTGCAATTAGTGCCAACTAGTGGGTGCAAGGAGAACAGAAAATTTGGAAACTTTAGTTAAGATGGCATTAGGTGAGAAGAACCAGATGTTGTTAATTTCTCATCACATGGTCACCTCTGTTGAGGAATTGCAGGTACTTGGCTTGGGTCTGAGCTTCTGTTCCTGGGACAAGTTAGAAAGTTTGAAATGATTTAAGGCTCCTTAATTTATTTGCACGTTAAGGTTTCTTTATAACAAGGAATGTCAATCATCTGTGCAATTATGTGAAAACCTGAAAGAATGGGAAAATCTTAGCGTGAATTATTGTGCTTTGAAAGACTTGGTCCAGCTGCACAAGAGGTTGAGACTCGAGTTTAGTCTCCTGCAGCAATGGTCTTTCTCAGAATCCTACCTGTTAATAAATGAGATTCCTATTTTTAAAATGAAATCAAGTACATTTTCTACACTTAAAGTACATTTCAATGTTTGGGGCCTATGTAACACAAATTGCAAAGGAACAGTGGCCTCTAAAGTGCTCTTATATAGACTATTTGCCTCAGACTCAGAAACTGGCCTTAAAGAATTGTAAATTGCGATTATTGTAATCAAGCCACCTGCCAAAGTAGGAAATGTTGTCATCATGGAAAGTTTACAATAGGAGCAGCTATGCCATGATATTTTATGGAATAGGTATTGGTATGAGCCCATACCTGATAACGGTGATGAAATGTTTTCAAGAGGAATTCGTAAATCTTTTTGTTTCAGGTGTGTTGCCAGGTGCGAATAGATGAAGATACAATTGACTATCTAAATGTTGCATTTTTACTTAGGTTTGCACATTACAAGATTCACAAAAATGTTTCTACGTGCAGGTAGACCCATCGTGTTGCGTGTGCGCTCACAAATGAAATTCACAAATTGATTTTGTTTTCATATTTGAGACAACGCGTCTACTATCCTATGTAAAGGTCACTATTGGGATATTGAGATTTTGGAGGAGATATAGATTACATTTGAAAGCCTTTTATTAGCAATTGAGGTAGAGGCTCTCTTGCAGTATACCCCACGATTTGAGGATCAAGGTGGTAGTCATTTTTGCAGGCACAAGGATAGGCCTCATGACCATTTAACAAATGTATTGTAAGTCTACTACAATATGTCTTAATGCAGAATTACTTTGTGTTTTAGTATTCCCACTACCTCCAAGTGCAGAGTTGTAACGGGTACCTGTTGTTGTATTCCAACCTTTACCTGGGTGATGGAAGAGATCTATATTTTCAGATAATATGCTCTTTATGTACCTGTGGCATATACTTGATGGGCTCAGTGACATACAGTAGATATCCCCTTTATTTTGGACAGAAACAGCTAATATGCTTGTGTGATTTATGCCGGTTTTGTCCCAATAATACATATAATTTGACATTTACTATGAACTATAGCTTCCAAAAAAGTTTTCTTTTTGGATGTGGAGATTCTGGTGCAGCAGGAAGTGAGACTTGCCACTACTTTTATACAGTAAGCCAACATCGGCAAACATAATACTGCATGCTGGCAGCACCCATCCGGCCCTGCTGGTTCATAGTATACCTTACAGACAATAACTTTTTTGTTTTAAGAGGAATTGTTTGAACAATGAAGAGTTTGTTAAGGAAGCTGTGCAACTAAGAAATAGGCTTTGGCAAAGGGGATATAGCAATGAACTTCTAAAAGCGGGCATATCAAAAAGCTAGTTTTAAATCTAAAGACAATCTGCTTTAATTCATTTATTGATGGGAATGAGAGATTCTGTTTGAGTGAGTGATCACACAATATTCACGACATCACCACGACATTTAGATTGTAAGCCCTCACGGGCAGGGCCCTCCTTACCATCTTGTCTTAAATTGTATTGTGACGTCTTCCTTATATTGTAAAGCGCTGTGCAAACTATTGGCGCTATATAAATCCTGTATAATAATAATAATAATAATAATAATCACCAGATACAGCAAATCCTATTGAACTACTGGCTTCTTACCTCTGACAACAACATATTCCCTATATATGTATGTAGTGTCCCTAAGTTGCTATTTAGAATATCCTCTTCAATTAGAGATAGGGGGTGATCGTTTCAAAGATCTAGCTAAAGGTACATACAAATGTGGGTCATGCAATCCCTGCTCTTGCATTCAAGAGGGCAGTGATTTAACTTTACCCAATGCACCGACATTCAGGCCTACATATTTATGTAGGAAAGACTAAAAGGCTATTTCGCTTTAGAATTTACAATCCTATACATATCTAATGGAGTCTTCTCTACACCAAATGGCAGACATTTTGGCTTCAAACATAGATATGATACATCATGCATTAGATGCATGGCTTTGGATAAGGTATAAGAGGAACCCTGTAGGGGGGGGCCTTTTAATAGATTGTTAAAACAGGAAATGCATTAGTTTCACATACTCCATGACCTGGATTTAAGGATATGCTAAGTTACAAAATAATTGCTGGAAGACTTTCCCTAGGTTACCCCAGTTTTGATTTCTGTAGTTTTGGTGTAGATTTTGAGGTTCAGTCCTACCAAAGGAATTATACATTAGGGTCTGGCCTGGCTTATAGCTGGATGTTTAAATAGGATGTATATGGGTCAACTATTGGGGAACCTGGAGGCCTGTTTTTTGTAGATGTATGGATGCCCAGCACATTGAGGGTTTATCACTTCTCCCCTGAGATTATTGTGGTGGATGGGGAATGGTCTGCTCTCATCTTATGGGCTATCTGTTGTCTCATGCTCTTGGTGGGCGGCCCTTGTGCAAATATTCCCCTGTGTGGAGTGGGGGCAGTTGCTGCCTTCTCTGCATGGGTCAGCTGCAGGCCAAGCCTCCATCTGAATTAGAATGGGGGCACGCCTGCGCAGTACCAGGCCCCCATGCTAAATCTCGCATCACATGCTGCATTTTGGTGTGTTTTCGTCATGGGCATATATGTGCAGGGGGTTGCAGTTAGGCGTTGGCTTAGGTGTGCGCTAGGACAGAAATGCAGGAGCAGGGGCTGTGGTGATATTGTTATAGATGCCAGTGGGTGGAGATGCACTGACACAGTCGTGCCATTTGTTGGTAGTGGTACCAATCAAGGTAATGCATTGGTTCACATTCCTTCTTAAATGTAGGTGTTTTTAGCATTATGTGCCTTTTTATTTTTGTACCAAGTGAGTTTTATCAACAATTATATGACTATATATTTGAGAGAGGGGTTGTAAGTCCAGTGTTAATTGACAAATTAGTGTGGATCACTTGGAAGAGAGCTCCTGGGTACAGGGTCTTTTATTTAAAATGTAGTCCTTTAAAATCTAGTAGTAATGGTTAGTTTGGATTATGTTTATTTCTATAGTACTACAAGGCTCGTTTCCTCATTTTGACTTTCTTGGGACAATAATTTGGTCATATGGATAACCGCCTGATACATATTTGTGCCTCAAAGTCCCTCTAATGCAATGGCTCCTTTTTGAGTGGTATCTATATAGTGTTGATGTATAAGGTGGTATTGGGTCATTGGTATTTTCCTTATTTCAGAAGGATCTAAATGATTTAGGCAGAATTTATATGCCCCTGGCCCCCCATGCCTGTCTTTGGAAACCCCACTCTGAGCATGATAGCTTAACAATACTACAATGTATGTTAACTAATGTATAACATTACACTGATCAGCACGACCATTATATCCACTTGCCTAATATGGAGAAGGTCCTCCTGCTGCCAAGGCATGGGCTCCACTTGGGTAAGCTGTAGTATCTTGCACAAAGCAAACAGTAGCAGCTTATTTAGGTCCTGTTTTTGTAGTGCATCCCACAGATACTCGATTGGATTGAGAACTGGAGAATTTGGAGGGCAAATCAACACACACAGTAAAAAAAAAATGTGATTCATCAGCCTTGGGCTACCTTCTTCCATTACTCCGTGGTCACGTTCGGATGCTCATGTGCCCATTGTAGGTGCTTTTGGTGGTGGACACAGGTCAGCATGGGCACCGTAAACAGTCTGTGGCTAGGCAGCCCCATGTAGGGCTGAAGAAAAAAAAAATCGATAATGAGAATTATTGTCAATGAAGATAGAAGCTGGAGCAGCTGTGAATGGCAAGCATCAGCTTCTTGCTTTCCTTTTCAATGCTTAACTGAACAAACGGAAGACACAAACTGGTTACTATGGGCAACTGCTCCAGATTTGATAAATTCCCCCCAGTGTATATAGGAATTGAAGTAAGTGTAGCCACAAGATTTTATTTCTGTAGGTCTTGTATGAAAAAAAAATCAAACATTTAAAAGTGTTATTAGTACAAATTAAAAAGCCTAATAGTAAATAAATATTTAAACAAAATATACAGAGCAGGAAGGAATATGGCACGTGTTTTAAACATGTCATGTATATCAGTGTGCCCAAACTAACATACTACAAACGTGTGGGTATTGGGTACCTTTCATAGTGAGTGCCTTGACAGCTGCCCAACTTGGAGCAAAGCCATGTCTCCTATTACTAAGCTCTGCTCCCACCATTTCATAGTACAACACTAAACTGCTGGGGGCCAGTAAAGGCTTTCACATTGTGAAGCAGGCAGAAATCTGAGCCCTTTTTTTTTTTTTTGAACAAAACACATCCAGGTTAAATGTCTGGAACAAAATTAAAAGGATTATTTAGGCACCACAAGGTGCCTGTACTTTCTAAGCCTTATTAGATTGGACACATGGATGGTCCCTGACAGATTCATTTTGACATCAAGTATATGGCTGTTGGAAATAGTATGGCTCAGCACATACTGATAATATGCTTCCTGTGTGTTGGCCACCAAAATGAAGGCAATCTACAAAAAACAGGCAGTCCTTATTCACAAGTACAACTAGACATGGGAAAAATCGTGGAAAATTAAGTGATGGCATATTATAGTAGGCATCCTACAGTAGCTGGGTAATCTTTACAAACCTTGTGAAAGCCGGTTGCTCAGGCACTAAGCAGTGGATTGTAGGATGTGGGAGGGGTGGGTCTACTCTCATACCCCAGAAATTGCATACATTTGCACCTTCTGTTGCACAATATTCAGCATCACTCTTAGTTTTCAAGACATTCCTTTACTACAGATTTATATCTCCATAAATATCAAACTTTTTTTTTCGTCCTAATGTAAAAATCCAGCTGGGTTGTATTAAATTTCAATTCAACAGCAAACATCGGATATTACACAGGATCTTTCGGATAGGTAGGCCCATCATAATGGCTTTCTTTCTCTGCCAAAAGTATGCAAACCATAGAAGGGTTCCAGGGAGAACAAAACCATAGCAATGCTGAGGCTTTTCATGGCTGCATACGTGTATATATGGTCTCAGGTCTTCCTTCAGCTTTGGCTGCATATCTTGCCAATGTGAAAAGGTAATCACTCAATCTGCAAGTAAATATGCATCACATTAACCTCTACATTGTGTTGCTGATAACTGGTATAAACAGGTCAACTTAATAAAGAAGAAACTGGCAGTCGGGTGGGATGGAAGCATCAGATTATTGGCCAGAGGGGTACAGAAAATCAAGCATAACATAATAAAAAATACCACAATGAAAACTGACTAATTCCATGCATATATTAAGGTAAATGCAAGCTTGATAGAACAAAACAAAATTATGAAACAAAGGAAAAAGGCCTCTCCATTAAGACCTTAATGATCAGCTAGGAAACACAGCAGCAACAATATCATGCCGAGATACCCCTGGGGAATACCGCCTGCAACGTTTTAATCCAGAAAGCTTCCCTCTTTATAAATTCTGATGTCTGTCACCACTGTCTGTGTCCCTGTTACAGATATTTCCCTTCCTGTCTGGTGAAACTGTTGTCAGGAAGTGAGGGTAAATCTTTATAATAGAGCTTCAAATAGGACATTTCCAACAGGAGTTCTAATACTTCCCTGATCTATACAAAACTAGAAAACACATTTTTGGCTTGGCATACATTTTAAGTATTAAAAGCTTAAGATAAAATCACACATTTTCTAAAGGAATCCCAGTTCACAGATCAGCATACCACTGAAAACATGATGGTGCATACTGAGTCTTTTCTGGCCCTATAGCCTTACATAAAAACAGCCTTCAACTAAATTAAAGCCCGATGCTGTCCAATTCTTTTGTTTTTATAGATAAAGGGGGAAAGACAGAGGCTCTAACCCTTCCCTACTCTATCCCAACAAAAAATGTTTTGGCTTTTGGAATTGGGCTTTGAAATATTAGGTGACACAAAAAGATGTCTGTCTGAGACTCCAGCTAAAATGTATGTATTTAGCACTCTCCTGATAAATAAGTGTGTTCATGCATGCATGTTAATTAATTTCCTTATTATTCTTGGCTGGATTCTACAATACACACATACACCTGGCTTTCCATTCGGTAGAACTTGTGTAGACTGTCAAAAGTCTCATAAAAAAAAAAAAAACCTTGCCTATGGTGACCAATTAGATTTTTAAAAAACTTTTCCTGAACCTGACTGCACACGATGGGCAACTTCACCAGTTCTGTAAGGAACTTCTTTCTCCAGAATTTATACATAAGTAACAGGGCAGGTGTGTCATGCACTTGTCCCTGACATCTCCCCTATACTAAGCTATGAAGCCACAGACAGACTGTAAAAAACATTTGTTGCCTTAAACACATGGAATCCATTACTGGTATGGATGATAACCCAGCAGCGCTTGTTTCGCTAATACACACATCAGTGACCTCCCTCTGATGGGAGCCCTAGAGTTTTACCTGTTTAAATATTTTCCAATGTTTGGATCTGCTTCTCCTTTCTGCAACAATTTGAATGTTCTAAAATGAATAAAAAAGATGATTTAAAAATGTTTGCAAAAAATACCATTTTAACTTTCGCTATATCACTGTAAGCATTTAAATTGTAGTGAGAGACACATGGGAGCTGCCATCGCTGACCTTTTTCTTCTGACAATGCTAGTTGCCTGGCTGCAATACTCTGGTACACAAATCAGGAGATTTGAACTAACTATAGACTGACTTGCTGCACACTTGTTCAGGGTCAGAAAGTACTGAAGGCAGGGACAGAAAGGCAACTAGCAATTTTAAATGGTGTTCACCAATGGCTTCCCCTGTATTCTCTTAGACTTGGAAGGAACTTACATTCTCTCAGCTCTTCGACATACACCTCTGGCCACATGTAAAGATGCACTAGCTTTACCTCCTGACTAGAAAAAAAAAAAGAAAGGGAAATGTTAATACCCTTATACCCAATGCAGAGTGTTCAAAAAATCTAAACTGAAAAAGTATTGAGGCAGTGCTTACTTTAAATATTAAATACACCCATGCTTCTGTAACAGGGAGAAAACCCCACTCGCCTCCACCTAATTAATGACATGTCTATTGTGCTGACAGATATGTGGCAGAGAACAACATAAAATAAAAGGTGGCCATTAACACGAAATGGCAGGGATTCCTCGATCAACTCGCTTGTGGCGTTGATGGGGGAATCTGCTATTTTTTTTCCGTTCAGGCCCCAGGTTGAGCGGAAAAACTAAAGCAGTGTATGGCCAGCTTAAAGCGACACAAACCCCTGAGCTTTTTTCTCCTCATACACATCTACACAATGAACATTCTCCAAAGCCACATTTATTTATGTTTTAAAATAAGGTTTTACAATTTGAATCCCTTTAGAAAGTCTGCTGTGCTCACTCCCGTTGCTCTTCTCTCCCCTCACACTTGTCACTTAGAAGGAAGCCGTGCACATTGATTCTGGTCACGTGCCCATCTTTATTTGCCTACAACTCCCATGAGGCGGAGAGGAATCATCTCTCACGGCACACAGCTGCTTCCTCCCCACAAAACACACTGTGACAGTGTCTTGTAATCTCCTCTGCAATGCTCTGAATTATCAAAACTACTTACAACAATCAATGACATTTACAACAAATCTACACAGAAAAACAACTTTCTTTCAAATGTAGGAGCCGTCTCCTCTGTGACTGTGTGACCAGATTTAGCATGTGAGCTGACACTCAGAAGAAAGTATGAGGCAGGTGACAGCTTCCATGCTCAATCTCCTCTTCCCACACTCCCTCCTTGGTAAGCTGGGAGGAGATAAATCACAGATCATATATTAGTGTGGGAGAGCAGAAGAAATCCCAGCTCCATGTAGAGTCTAGAGGGGAGGATTTGTGGGTGGAGACTGAGAAGACACGCCCTCATCATGTTGTAGTGCTTCACATGAACCATGTCAGACAGCAAAGGTAATATTTTCAAGACATATTTTCCATCTGGTTGGAAACTCTGTTTGCGATAATCTTTTTCTACTATATCTAGGATACGCTACAAAGTTCAGTCCTTTTGCAGGGCCATTAAAGTGGGTGCAGAATCAGGCTGTGTATTTTAACCATAATTTGTATATTTAGATATAATGACGACCACAAACCACCATTATATCTGAATAAACAGTGCTCAATGTCAGGAATTACATTTCAACTCCTGTTACCTTAGAAAATAAGGTTATAGGGATGGGGATCTCAAGCAGCAGGAGTCTACTTTAGGATTTAACTTTTATCTACGTCTGTATAAATTAGTACTGTAATGTACTTTTTTTTTTTTTTTTTTTTTACAAACATACAGGTACAATGAAGTTCGTCAATGGGGGAAGCTGTGCTGAGTATTTATCGATCCACTGCTCAAGTTCCTGTGCTGGATCCGCACTAAATGATGTTCTGACTGTAGAAAAAAAACCAACAAATGAATAATAAATGGATATGAAGCTATATTATAACAACAATAAGGAAATTTACACAAATTACACAGAAAACATGCTGCTATATAAATTATAAAATTAGTATCAACTACATAAATACTAGTAGAGCCATATAGATAAATAACAGTTATCTCTAAACATATTATAAAATGAATACCACATGCAGATTACTCTATTGCTTTTACAGTACACTGCATTATACATTACATTATACAAATCCAAAAACGTCAGCGCAGGTTCAATGAGTGAGTTATCTAATTCACAATTGTTTTATACTGCACAACTTCTTTAGCAACAGAACACATTTAAATCTGCAGGATAAAGGTATGGATTGTATAACTTATCTCCAGCAAACTCTGTGAACATGTGTTGTGTGCGAATGGAAGGAAAACGAACAGTCTTAGTATATTTTCTTTTCAGGTGGAATGTAATCTTTGGAAAATATTGTATTATGACCACTAGATGGAGCAGAGGAGAAGGAGGAATGGAGTATTTCTCAATAATACAATCAACATTTGTCCAGTCGCACAGAATGAACATTCACAGAGATTCCCAGGGCGAATGTCTTTAAAGAAGGAATGTTTTATTAACTCTTGCAGTGGTGCTATCCCCACACTGCAAGGGTTAAGTGCATGTTTGTGTCTAGGTGCTAAAATAACAAAGAAATACTCACCCGAAGCTCTGAGCCAACCAGCTGTCAGGGCGCTCCCTCCAGCCTCTCTTCCCCCTCCCTGCAGCACTAGAATCTTTCTCAGCATCCTTATGTCTATACAGTGTGTATAGACGTTGATGATTTACAGGACCTTAGATTGCTGCAGAGGAGGGGGAGAGACGTTGGAAGGACCAGTCTAGGAAGAAGCCGGCTTGGTGCATTGGGTGAGTATACGTTTTTTTTTTTAACCTAGACACAAACAAGCACTTAACCCTTGCAGTGCAGAAGTAGCCCCACTGCAAGATTCATTACACAATTTGCTGGAGTTTTTCTTCAAAGATTGATCTAACTTCAAAGCACATCTCAATGTAATGTTAGGTAAAGGAGGTAGACGGGGAACCCTAGTTCTTCCATTGATGAAGGCTTTAGTGTCTGAGACATGCATCATTCTAAAGGTTTGTTTTATTGGCTTGGTCTGTTAGAGGAAGTTGAAAAATATAAGAATTACGGGCCAGATTACACTGTGAAAAAAAAAAAAGCCTAAGCATTAGTAGATGCATTATATCACATTTTAGCTTTTGGGTTTGGAGCCGCTTTAATGATCCTGCTCCTGGCAACTTGTCAGTAATGGGACAACAACAAAAAAACCTGCTCCTATATTGTCACTCCTTCACTGAATGAACCAGCAGGGAGTTAGGTCAAGTGTAACAAGTGGCTGGTTTGGTCAGTGAGGGAGCGAGGAAGATTCTACAGCATTTTGGCTATCGAGGGAACAACATCTGTACAGGGGCAATGTCACAAGAAGTCTCACTGCCTGCTACAGAATCACTAATGTGACATGGCCATTAAAAAAGAACAGAGACAATGCTCCTCTTTCCTATTCTGTGCTTTTTCAGCGTACAGTACAGATCACTACTAAACTAAAGTAAAGCTTGAAATAATTGATTACAATATAAAAATTAACACTTTAAGTCAAATATATTTAAAACTATAACACAACACTAAGTAACAAGTGAATTTCTAAGATGAGGCATGCCTAAATTACCTTTGTGGCTTTCTCTGGCAGACGACAGAGGCGTTGCAATGTTGGAGCCAACATCCTGGAGCATACACTGTATCTGTGGGGACATTTTTCATACAATCACCCTATGCTGCACACATTCATAAACATAAACGTTTTTGTTGTTGAGAAGAGCCAAAGGCAATCCGTGTCCCTCACAACAAGGAGGAGTGCTGAGCATATATGCAAGATGCAGCCCCACAGCAGTCAAGGGAACTGGAACATCTAGAAAGAGAGAGGGGCGCCTTTCCTAGTGCAGAATGTTTAATTCAATATCATCGAAATAGTACAAACAGGTACTCACAATAAGGGTGTGAAAACGAGCAGCAGGACAATGCAAACCGGAGCAGAGCAAGGGTCCATGTGAAGCGTCCTGTATGACACTGTTGACACCACAGTGAGCCTCATACAGGATGCTTCACATGGACCCTTGCTCTGCTCCGGTTTTCATTGTCCTGCTGCTCGTTTTCACACCCTTATTGTGAGTACCTGTCTGTACTATTTCGATGATATTGAATTAAACATTCTGCACTAGGAAAGGCGCCCCTCTCTCTGTTTCTTTCTATACATTCATAAACATGTTTGTACTTAAGTCCGGTATACATGCTTCTATTTTCTTTAGCTGAACGAAGAAAATAGAACAGCTTCCTCCTTCAACGCTTACGAGCGTTGATCGAGGAATCCCCCGTTGTTTCCTTTGTAGCCGGCTGCTGTCAGAATACCAGAGCAGAACTGGCAGCTGATTGGCTCCTTCAATCAGCTAATTGAGAGATGCTAACAGCGCACACGAGTGGGGAAACTGTTAGAAATGTAAACAGCCAGTGATGGCTGTTTACATTCAAGTGATCAGGCGTCTCTAGAGATGCCCAATCATTAGTAGTAGCTGCGGTTGTGCAATTTTTTTAAAGTCCCCCTGCCCGCCCCCACATACACACACACACACAAACATGCGTCAGATGTGCCTATGTGCGAAAACGACTATGCGCCCAGTACGCCGCACATGTTACATATCTCCGCGAACGTCTGAGTGAGAGCAATCACTGATAACACTAAACTGATGCCGTTCGTTTTCTGCGATTTCGCGGGCGCACGCCATTTTACGGCTTGATGTCTAATTTGGTGTCTATTTACCTGACGTGACCCCGTCTTTTGTGTTTTACCAAAAAAGTGGGGGGATAATAAATGTTTTATAATATTTCATAGGGAAACAGGTTTTGTTTCAAAATTTAGGGTACTTTTTTTGTTATATAGTAAAAAATAAAACCCCCAGTGGTGATTAAATACCACCAAAAGAAAGCTCTATCTGTCCCCAAAAAATGGTATAAAATTCATTTCAGCACGGAGTTGCATGACGGAATAAATGTCAGTCAAAGTACCGCAGCACTGAACACTGAGAAATGGCCTGGGCAGGAAGGGGGTTTAACACCCCGGTCAGCAAGTGGTTAAAATATCAACTTAATAACCCTTAAATACAGCTGAAGATTACAATGGAAAAATTGAAAATAATGCCCTTTGTATGAGAGTGCAAGTACAATAAGAAGTCATTACCTTTTCAAGTTCAGACACAAACTGGAGATTAGCATCCAGACAGAATTCTCTGGCCAGCCTGGAAAGTAGATGAGACTGATGAGAAGAGAACCAATAGCAGCACAACCTCTGCCACTTGAAAGCTCAATTGAGAAATACGATTAAAGTATTTGGTTCTTGTGAGCTTACAAACATAATATACATATCATAAAACGGGTGCTATGTTACTATTATGTAAGCATACAATAGGAAATAAAACCCTCTTCTTTTAAATTTGCCAGACAACAGGTATTTCTGAATTTCCTTAGTCAGCTTATGGTTACATGTCATCACTTCAATACAAATAGACCAAGACATGTTAGTCTTTCATGGCCTGAGGAAAAAATAAAATAAAATTATACCCGCTAGTGTGCAACAAACTGAAACATATCGGCCGAAAATTGTACCATGTTACAGTACAAATTGCGGTGCATCCCAAGTTTCTCTCCTCCCTGCTGGGCGCTGCTCTGTGTCCCCTATGACAAAGAGCAGCGTCCAGCGGGCAGGAGAGAAACGTTCAGGCGGCCGAACGGGGTAGGGAGGAGAGAGCTGTGAGCCACGATGTCACTGGAGGCCGGGCTCTCCTCCCGCAACCCCCTGCTCGGCCTCCTGTTACAGATAAGGATGGACAGCGGTGTGGGGGCGGAGACAGCTGTGAGCTGTCACACGAGGCAAAGCCAGTGGTGTGGGGGAGGACTCAGCTATCAAAAGAGAACGAGCTTTCCTCCCACACCGCCGGCTTAGCCTACTGTGACAGTGAGTCAGGATGGAGAGCGGTTACAAGCAGTCACCGATCAGCTGATCGCTTGTAAATAACTGAGGACATAGTATGTTTACTGTGTCCCCAATTATGAATGAACAGGAAGTGCTCTACATCACCTCCTGTTCATTCATGATTGTAAACATGGTAAACATACTATCAACACAAGTTATGAATGAACAGGAACACTCAGTATAGAGGCTTCCTGTTCCTTTATAACAGGGGCTGCAGAAAAAGAGATTGAGGACTCTGTGTTCTCAATCTCTTTTTCTATTTAAAAGGGAAATATCAGGAGTATGTTTAGACACCTAATATTTCCCCAGAGCCCCCGACAGTAAAGTAAAAAAATCGAAATATTTAATAAAAAAAATAATAATAATACATGAATAAAAATAAAATATTTTAAAAAATGTTACAAGTACCGATATTTTGCTTTCGGTACTCGCCGATAGCGGTGCTTCCGCCTGCATGGAGCCAGCTTCCCGGGCAATCAGGAAGCCGGGGCGGCGAGTAATGACATACTGCCCGACTTCCCAGCCAATCAGCATCAAGCCGGCTTCCCAGGCAATCAGCATTGAGCCGGCTTCCTGGCCAATCAGGAAGCTGGGAGGTAGGTCATTACTCGCCGCTCGGCTTCCTGATTGCCCGGGAAGCTGGCTCCATGTTCCCCTATGGCACTGTCAGTCAGAGGAAAACTTCCTCTGACCGTAAGTTCCGGTATCGGAGCATTTGGGCAAGTACGAGTTCTCGCCCAAATACTTGGTATCGGCAGCAATACTAGTATGGATGCATCCCTACTTAAAACGCTGCAGGAGTTTCTCACATTTTCATACAGCTGTTTCAGGCTTTTTGGTCCTAATACAAGATATGGAGTGTATAACTATTATGGGTGATGAGTAACCAACTAGGATGGCTACATAGGTTACAGTGTGCCAAACCAAAAAGAACTGCAAAGTCTTGTCTCTCAAAACACTATTAAGTGCAGTAAACTTTCTTAATACAGAATGTATTTACAATAATCACATATCATATCAATCCAAAAATGTCGTCAATTTCAGATATGCAGATCTAACATTACTTACGGTCCTGAAAATGCTACTTTCCTGACTGACCCAGAAGTGGGACACATACAACTAACTCTGGCTTTTCTGTGACTTTCCAGATCTGCAGAAATTGTTCCAGGTCAGTGTCTTAAAGTATTGAAGCCAATGGCACAGCACAACAACCAAGCCTCTAGCATTTTTAGAATAAAGTAAGCAATGGCAGTCCCTATATTTCTTTTATATTTAAATATATGTATATGAAGGAAGAAAAGATGACAGCACTCAGAATATTAAAAGTTATCACAACTTACCCAATAGCTGAGCTCAGTTCATCAGTAGCTCCTAGTGCTTCAAACACCAAGTCATCCTTAGGTCTCCTTTCTCCTGTGTACGTGCTGGAAAAGCCTACAGAGGTGTACAGTATATTATAGTATCCGTGCTTTTATTTAAAGAGAAACTATTCTAGTTCATGTCACTGATGGCAATACCTTTATCTCCAGTTTTTGTGTAAATTCTTGGGAACCTCTTTGCTGTAGGTTCTGTTTGGGAGCTGTGGCAGAAAAGAATTGAAATACACGTGAATCTGCTATTGTTTAGGAAAACAGTCTTCACTAGGTAAACTATATACATGGCACGGTCTTTAGCCAGGTTTTGCAGATTCATACTCATTCTCTTTTCTGAAAATATTCTCGTGTTCTTTCTCAAAATGATTCCTGAATGGGAGGGCATGTCTTCAATACAACTGCCTGGTGCGATCCCAGTGTTTTAATAAGGATGCTGCAGTGTTTACATCCAGTTAGGTGTGCATGAGCCTTGGAAGGTTTTTCACTTCTAATCAAAGCCCATCTCCAGCCATGATGTCCCCACTGGTTCTATTTTATGCATTCTTGCCTTTAATACCTATATTTTCTCCGGGCTCATCAGTCCTTACTGGTGTAGAGAGTGGTGCTGAGGTGATGATGTCAGCGCTGTTCTCTGCACCAGTACAGAAAATCTTTGCACGATCAGAGCTGGCAGCCAATGAGCTACCAAGTATTCTGACAGCACTCACTGGCCGCTGTCAAAATACAATGCAAACAGCGGGATTCCTCCATCAACACGCTGGTAGTGTTGATGGAGGAATCTGCTCTATTTTTCCTGCGCGTTAAACAAGAAAAATAGAGCAGTGTATAGCCAGCCTTAAGAGCGAGCACAAAGTGCTGGAGGAGGCAGGATGTTGAACCAGCAATGTGTTTCATCTACAGCACTGTAGACTTCATTAACCCTGAAGAAGTTGGAGATGCTAATGAGAAAACCAAATGTGTATTCACGCAGACTTGTCCAATCTGCAAATAAATAGAGGTGCACCGAAATGAAAAAAAATGTCAGGCCGAAACTAAAAATTTCTTTTATTCTAACTTTATCAATTTTTTAAAAATATTTTATTTTTATTTATTATAAGCTTTTTATTTATTCATTTTTATTAAATATTTTTATTTTTTACTTTACTTTTAGGGGCTTCGGGGAAATATTAGGGGTCTATACAGATCCCTGATATTTCCCTTTTAAAATAGAAAAAGAGATTGAGGACACAGAATCCCCAATCTTTTTTTCTGTATCCCCTGTTATACATGAACAGGAATTCTCTATACTGAGTGTTCCTGTTCATTGATAAAATGAGGACAGAGTATGTTTACTATAACTACAGCTATGAATGAACAGGAGTGTATGTAGATCACTCCCATTCATTCATACTTGAGGATATAGTACACATACTCTGTCCTCAATTATCTAAGAAACACTCAGCGATCACTGAGTGTTTGTACCCGCTCTCCTTCCTGACACGCTGTCACAGGAGGCTGACCTCCGCCTCCTGTGACAGCACTGCAAGCTGTATCTGCCCACATCGCTCTGCCGATCTGTGAAAGGGGAGCAGCGCCCATCGGGGAGAAGAGAAAGAATGGATGCACCGCTATTTCGGCCAGAAAATGGCACTTTCGGCATTTTGCTAAAAGTGCCATTTTCGGCCGATATATCGGTGCATCCCCACAAATAACCATACAATTTATGAAACACGATTGCCTGGATTCCTAAACTGTATAATTCTGTGCAGATCAGTCTAATATTTGTAAACTGTGAACTGATTCATTCCTGTTTACAAGGCTAGGTATCATTTGAGCCAGCTAGTCAAGCAGCTCCCAACATTCCGCTGCTTTCGCATAAACCGGCCTCTGCAGCGAGAAGGCCCTGCATACAGGGTAGTTTAACATAGGCATTATCAGGTAGAGTGATCTTCTTCCCAATGGTGCTTGTATAGTCCAAGTCATCACTGTTAGGAGGGTCACGATGCATACAGCATCCAACGCAAGTGCCACTGACCACCAATAATTGTCATACCCAGAGGCAGGGCAGCCATCAGGGGGGTACGGCCGATACTCATGTAAGGGGCCCGGGCAGCCTGGGGGAAGAGGAACCCTTTTCCAGGCCACAAGAAACCCTGCTAAAATAGATTGAACAGAGGTCTGTGGGAAGAATGCCTCTTACATTGGTGGTTAGTGGGAATAATGCTCCCCTTAATGTGGCGCTCAGAATGGCACCCTTACAGACAGCCAAAAAGATTTGTGTCATGCTGCTGGCATTGGACCTTGAACTATCCAGGCATCATCAGCCCCCAGGGAACCCTAGAGTTCCATAGAACCCTGGCTGAGAATGGCTGCTTTAGACCATTCACCTGTGTGTCTTCTGTATGTATGTAAGTGTGGAACAACACCCTTGTGTAAAGCTTAGTGAATTGAGCCTGGTGTTTAATAACATGGAAAATGAAATGTTGTGGTATAGCAAAGGTTAGGCAACCTTGCCAATGCAGCTATGGTAAAACTACAAATCCCATAATGCCTCTGGGATGCATGCCTGTGGCTGTCAGTCTTGCAATGCCTCATGGAAGTTGTAGTTCCAAAACACCTGGAGTGCCAAGGTTGCCTACTCCTATGGTGGAGCTTGGCCATGCTGGAAAAGCAGCATTTCAGTGGCTATTCAATGAGACTCCCTGCCCATGTCACCCTCTCTAGCACAGTGGTGTGTTGTATACAGTAACACAGTCGACCCTCTCACCTGCCCCCAGCCGCACTGTCACTACACAGATGCCTGCTCTGTGCCAATCCGCGCACCGCTCGCCATAACAACAACCGTATCGCGGCCATGACTACTAAGCCCGCCCACCGCTCGCCTCATGCTGTAGGCTGCAGCTGATTGGTCCTCTTGCTCTGGCTATGTCACACAACTTGCACTCACTGGCCACTTTCCAGTGCGACGCTGCCTGTCCGGTGGAAGCCTTCTCTGATTGGAAAAACAGAGAAGGAGAGGTCTCTGCTGATTGGAGGAAAGTAGGGAAGTACGGCTGCTAGATCCGATTGGTTAGAGATGGCTGGGCTGTACAAATGATGATTGGTGTAGACATGTGTAGACTGTGGAGTTCATTGATCGCAGTGGAAGTGTATGGAACCCGAAGTAAAGTGACAGCAGGATTTCCAGGTAAAGCGTCTGGATTCCCTTTACCTTACAGCAGCATGCCTAGAACTCCACCTGGTGTAAGTAGAATGAAAGTCATCTCTGCTGGCCTGGCAACCCACATTCAGGAGGAATTCCGCACTGAATAACACCATTGTGCCTTCAGTGTGCTACAAATCCTGCTGCTGTCCTTACACACCGAGCCATTCCCCTACCCCATCCCAGGATGCAGCATTGGGTGCCTGAGCGACCCATTATAAGGTCAGGGATGTGAATACTTGTCATTAGAAAGTTGTAAAACTCTTGGGGTGCAGGGGGACCGGCAGCAAAAGTGGTGATCAGGAACCTTAAGGTGCCTATTGTTTTTGTCATGAATTCATCTTAGTAAGAGGCATGCTAGTAAAGGTTTACATCAGGGGTGGGCAAACTCTGGCCCTCCAGCTGTGATGAAACTACTAATCCTATCATACATCTGTCTCTGGGAGTCGTGGCTGTGAGAATCGTGCAATGCCTCATGGGATTTGTAGTTCACAAAAGCTGGAGGGCCGGCGTTTGCCCACCCCTGGTTTACGTTACACCTGTCATGAATGCATTCTGTAGGCTGCCATTGCTCATCTTTTAAGGGGGCTAGTTCCCTGGTAGTAATGTTGATGGCTTTGTCTCTAATGGTTTCTGGTTCACTTAGGCCTCATTTACACTTCTGATCAAGTGTTCCTCACTTGTTTCTGCTTGATGAAGGGGATCCTTTGTGACCCCGAAACGTTGCATTAAAGGAGAATTATGAGGCTATTGATTTTCACTCAGCCTCATAATTTGAGCCGACCTCTGACAATGAAACTGTCACAGGTCGGCTCAGTCGATCGAGAAGTGAGCGAACACATACCGGCGCTCGCTCACTTCTCGATCCTGTCACTGCAGAGAGCCGTGACTGTCACTCACGGCTCCCTGCAGGGATTCCCCCCTCCCCTGTCCGATCCTCTAGTGCTGACTGGCGGAACGGACGGGGGATAGGGCGGGCACAGCTGGCTCTGCCTCTAGATAGGCAGAGCCAGCTGTCACTCACGCAGCTGGGTGGATCCAGACAGAATTGTCGGGATCCATTCCGGCTGCGACGTCTCAGTATACTGAGCTTTGGGTGACGGGAGGACGCTATTTTTTGTACTCCCGTTACCCTTAGGAGAACTATGGGGAAAAGTCCTAACCTATAAGTGTATTTGCTATGCAACATGCACGTTAATAAATAGACGTACTTAATCAGCTATTGGTGTGCCGGTGTCCATGCTTTTGTTCATATGACAAGGTGTTTGCCATCCGCCGACAACCGCAGCACCCATCTTATCATATTAGAATAGCGGGAACTGAGTGTGGTGGGTATATGGACTATATATGGGAATAGCTGTTGCCGCTCAGCCTGTACAGACCAATGACATTCGCTGTGCAGATGTCATCAAAAATACACTGATTACCGTACCTGTAGGTAGGGACAGAAGATCGCCCCTGGACACAGCCAGGCAATGAGCATTTTCAGAAAGAGGCCAGCAATGGCAGCTGCATACTTCTTTCATCACAGGTGTTCATAAGCTTCAAACTGGAATGCAGCAGCTCTGTACCTGAGCAGCAGACTGAAACATTTTATTGATACCCTCTCAGCCTATCAGAGTACCCGCAACACCTTGACTTTTCATGATATCTAAATAAACTCTAATGTTGAAAATACTCTCAGTCCAGCACAGGAGTAGGCAACATCAGCACTCCAGCTGGGGTAAAACTACAAATCCCACCATGCATCTGGGAGCTATACCTGTGACTGTCAGAGTCTTGCAATGCCTCATGGGACTTGTAGTTCCACCACAGCTGGAGTGCCAAGGTTGCCTACCCGTGGGACTCTAGCACAAGGAGGATGTCACTCCATTAGCAGTTATTGCATCTTACTTAGAAATATCATTTAATGCTTGCATGTGACAGGCAATGTAAATGTGGTTAATAAGGTATTAGTCATGAACATACCAGTGACATATTATAATGAGTTAATTTCCAAATGTCTTCCAATCTCCAGTCAGCTGATTAAAAAAAAAACCCTTTTGGCAGCCACCTGTAGAAGGTGCTCTGCTTTGGGGGTGTCTTAAATGACTGATGAACAACTGAATCCTAAAGAAGTGTTGGGTTTATTTACAAATAGGGGATATACATACATTCTAAATACAATTAAGAGAAATGGAGAGGGGATTTGGAGGGGGTCAGTAGGGATAGGAATTGAGGTTAGGATCCTTCAGCTAGCAACCACCATTCTCTCTCTCTCTCTCATTCACAAATGCCATGGGTTTTTCTCTGTGCTCAGAACACGCCTCTCCAGCAGGTCTCAGCGAATCACATTCTTGATTGTAGAGTCCAGAAAGACTTGTCTTGTCCAAGAGGTCAGCAAGGTTACCATTGTTCCTGCTTGTGAGCTAGGTTTGAGCTAGGTTCCTGCTTCCTAGGTTTGAGCTAGGTTCCTGCTTGTGAGCTAGGTTTGAGCTAGGTTCCTGCTTCCTAGGTTTGAGCTAGGTTCCTGCTTGTGAGCTAGGTTTGTGCAGATGATCACACAGGAAGAAGGTTCCATCATATGCCCCTGCCCCCATCCCAACATATATGCTGCCTTGCTTACACAGGTGTGGGCAGTAAATACCAGCAGGGGTAGGGCTCGTCCCAGGAGATAAGATAGTCCAGCAAATTTTCATTCATCAGCGTCCCTGCCCCAAGAACCCTTTGATTGTCCTCATTTGCGTATCACACAGCCACATGCTGATTCAGTTCAGGATATCAAGGAACACCTTTGCATCAAAGCTGCATCATAGATGTCAATTTTATCTGTTCCAACACCACCCATGTACAGTAAGAGTGTTTTATTAAGTCTATAGGGCATGTAATACACAGAAGTAGTTACCTTGGTCCTGCAGGCATTTTCTCCTTTGGTCTACCAGCCCTCTGAAGTCACATCTCTGCTCCAGTCTTGTGGCCGCCCCCCTCACCATCGTCATTGCATGTAAGCAGGACCAGCAATTCAGCAGTGTATATGAGGACATTGAGGGCCCACATTCCAGGTCTGGAGAGGAAGCAGAGGAGCATACTGACTGCTGGAGGAACAAGGGTCAAGGTAAGTACTCCTTTCTTGAAAGCTCACCCCACATGTTACAATCTGATTGTACAATCTCCTTTTAGATCTACCAACTACCATGTAGTGCACAAGCCTGTCTGATTGGATAGATTCAGTAGGTATTCCTATTACATAGTTTTGGTAGATCTAAAGTTGATTGTACAGAGAATGTACGGTTAGATTGTAATGTGCATGGTGAACCTTATATCCCTCTAGACAAGACAAGCATTAGAACCTTACTATATGGGCCAGGACCCAAAGGAGATTTTTATCAGCTGACCAGAGTTCAGATTTACTTTTCCAGGCTGTTCTTTGAATATGAATATTTTCTCTTGGCAGAACTACATAGCAATGGATAAAGAGTTGATATCTGCCCCTGGAAAAGTCATTTTACATGGTGAACATGCGGTAGTCCATGGAAAGGTAGTGTATATGATGTCTATTAGTAGACTATTATTATTATTATTACTATGCTGTGTGTTGCATGTGCAGTGGATGTGTTTAAAGCTATGCTGGAAACAAGAAATATGTAATATTTAAGTTTAATATATTGCAGCTTACCAATCCTTAGATGTGGTGGCTGACTTACTTTTAATTTTTTTTCCAGGCTGTTTTGCTTTATTTGCCCGGGAAATAACACACTTCCTGTCCCTGGGTGTCAATACTCATCCCTCCACTGTATTTATGGGGGATTCCATGGTTGTCACCCAAGATGCTCTCCTGATTTGGGCTACAAATAGGTCTTCAGCTATTCTGCTTCATTACAATGGTGATGGGAATTCGTTTACAGAAGACTGCTTAGAAGGCAGATAAGAATATTTCTGCTTCCAGTATTTTCTGTTTCTTAAGACGTTCTTGGCCTGAAAAACAGGAAAACAAATGGAACCACCGCATCTATGGATTGCTTACTGTGTTGGGAGCTCAATGCCAACTAGCAGGATTGATTTCTCACGCTAATGTATTGCAGTTAAGCATGTAATATTGCATTGCCTTTTTTTAAGTGGGGGTTTATTAATATGCAAAGTCAAATTAAGTAAATCAGTAAATCCAATGCACCTATCAAGTTATCTGGAAGTTAATACAGCTGGTTTAGAGTAAATTGAGCAAGGCAGTGAGTACTCAGAAACTGGAGCAGATGTACATGACAACCAATCAGCTTCTCTCTTTCATTTTCAAATCTTAAATGAACAGACTGAAGAGAGAAGCTGATTGGTTGCCATGGGAAACTGCTCCAGTTTTGATAAATTCCCCAAGTGTGTTTACTATATCCACAATCATGAATTAACAGGAGGTGATGTAGATCACTTCCCATTCATTCATAATGGAGGATATAGTAAACATACTCTGTCCTCAATTATGTACAAACACTCTGAGATCAGTGATCGCTGAGTGTTTGTACCGCTCTCCTCTCTGACAGCGGTGCGGGAGGAGAGCTCAGCCTCCTGTGACAAGACTGCCTGTCTCCGCCCCCACACCGTTCTCCTCTGATCTGTGACTGGAGGCTGAGCGGTATGGGAGGAGAGATGCTGGCCGCTCACAGCGCTCCTCCCGCAGCGCTCGGCCGCCTGCGACAGTTTCTCTCCTCCCCGCTGGGACACAGAGCAGCGCCCAGCGGGGAGGAGAGAATAGGATGCACTGCTGTATCGGCCAGAAAATAGGCCTTTCAACATTATATCAAAAGTGCCATTTTCGGACAATATGTTTCGGTGGCCGATATATCGGTGCATCCCTAATTATTTCTTCTGTTGACAGTCATGTGTTCTGTTACTTAATGCAAATGTTTCTCACATACAGGTGGCTTTGGCAGTGGGATTAAATTTAAGAACGTTCATTAAAGTACAACATCGCAGGGACTCTACTGTGTTAATAAACTTGCCAAATATTGGCACTAAGCTGACCTGGAATGTCTGCCAGCTTCAGCCTTTGCTACCTAGCTTCCAAGGTGAGTTTGATGAGCACAGATAAGGGTTTATATACAGTACATAGCAACAGCTGTAGCATGCGACTGCAAACACTTGATGGAGAGGATTGACTGGTTATTTTAAGAACTCCCTCCTTTTATATCTTCATGGATGCATTATCTTCTATGTTCTTGCAGTAAGGAATTATTGGTTAAAATCTGTATTCAATCAAGCTTTATACACTGTAGTTAGTGACATTTATTAAAGATAAAAAAAGCACATAAAACAACATATAGCAGAGTATGTCCTGTCATGGCAAGGGTAGGGAAGAACACAGTTTCTGGGTCCTGGAGACAGTCCATGTCTTAAGCTGCCAATTGACTTGCCAGGGCCATTTGGGGAAGCATGGTTCAGCTTCCCTCAGGGCAAAGTCTGCCAGCCTTACAAGTTTATATATATATTTATATGAATGGCAGAGAGGGGAGCAGCAAACAGGGGCCAGTGCTGGCCTACTGGGGAAACAAAGATTTTCAGAACAAATTTTATAACTTGTCCGATCAACGTTCCTTCAATGATGGCCAGTTAAAGTAGGCCTAGAACCTCCTGTAGTAGACATGGTATTGTTGCCTGATATGATAATTTTCAGGCCATGCAGACAACTATCATATCATGTCTGACAGCACCTTTTAATTAGGGATGCACCGATACCGGTTTTTCTGTATCAAGTACGAGTACCGATATTTATATTTTTGGTACTCGCCGATACCGGAAGTCCCATTAAGAAAGCCAGGTGACGTGTAATGACCCTCCACCTGGCTTCCCAATCAGCAGGGAAGCCGTCTCTATGCTTGCTCGTCACCAAGTCAATCAGGAAGCCGGGCGGCATGCAATGACTCTCTGCCCAGGTTCCTGATACCGGATGTTCGGCTATCGGGCTAGACATTGGAGCATTCGGGTGAGTACGAGTACTCGCCCAAATACTCGGTATCAGCACCAATACTAGTATCGGTGCATCCCTTCCTTCAATGCTCAGTTGTAAATTTTGCTCAGAGCGGTTCTTAAAAACCCATTTTAATAGAGAAATGTTGCTGTCATGGTTGGAGAGTGTTTTCTCAGTGTATTTTTGAGTCAGCATAGTTTATTTTGCTGTGAATTGTATAGGCTATATTCATGAGCAAGGGCAGTCAAAGCCTGCACAGATAATAGCTGCAGTGTCCCCTACATAAACACAATATGATAGGAATACCCCATCATATAGTGGTATTAACATTCTGTTCCGCTACATCTCCCTCTGTATCCCTGTTGTTATCCCGGAATCATACCCAGACTATGTACAATGGACATGTCAAGTCAGGTGCCTCAGAGGGTTTAGAAGAGATGTTGCTGCAGGGATTTACATCCTCTCGGTCCTGAACTAAAATTTAAAAAAAAGATAAATTATTGTATTCCGAACTTGTAGGACATCTTCCATCACTAATTTTTAGTGAACTGGCTGGCTGATTGATGTTGTTAGAAGGTTTATTTGCTCTGTACACCCTATCGTAAAATAAGCCTATTGCTGTAATGTGATTGTTTTGTATGTACTTTTATTAAGAATGGTGGCTTAGAGCAGGGCTGGACAAATCCCAGTAGCCAGGTAGCCAATGTTCCTTAAAAATTGCAGCTGGCTCCTAACGTTTGAGGTAGGGATGCACTGACACCATTTTCTCCAGACCGAGTAAGAGTACCAATACTTTTTTTTTAGTGTCATGTGACAGTTTTTCTTAAACCATACAGACTAATGATTTTAGGACAGTGGTGGAGCGCCAGGGACTGCTGCAACCCTGGTAGTTCTGCCACTGATTCCCAGCTGTAGAGGGAATACAAATCTTGGCAATACATTATACAGCAATGCAGAATGCCATCAGCAATAGAGGACTACAAATCTCACCAATACATTATACAGCAGTGCAGAATGGCACCAGCTATAGAGGACTACAAATCCCAGCAATACATTATACAGCAATGCAGAATAATACCATCAGCTATAGAGGACTAGAAATCCCAGCAATATATTATACAGCAATGCAGAATAATAGTATAGTATAGTATTGGGTATCGGGACATTTTCATGAGTACTCATGAAAATGCCCAGTATCTGTACTGAAATTAGTATGTGTATCGATGCATACCTAGTTTGAGGTTTTCAATGGAGCTACATTGACATTGAGGTTTTCAATGTCAATAGAGTTGGCTCCTAAAAAAACCCATCCTGCTAGCTCCTGGATTGGACAAGCTGGCTCCTGAATTATATACACTATGTTGCCAAAAGTATTGGAATGCCTGCCTTTACACGCACATGAACTTTAATGGCATCCCAGTCTTAGTCCGTAGAGTTCAATATTGAGTTGGCCCACTCTTTGCCGCTATGACAGCTTCAACTCTTCTGTGAAGGCGTCCACAAGGTTTAGGAGTGTGTCTATAGGAATGTTTGACCATTCTTCCGGAAGCGCATTTGTGAGGTCAGGTACTGATGTTGGACGAGAAGGCCTGGCTCGCAGTCTCCGCTCTAATTCATCCCAAAGGTGTTCTATCGGGTTGAGGTCAGGACTCTGTGCAGGCCAGTCAAGTTCCCCCACCCCAAACTTGCTCATCCATATCTTTATGGACCTTGCTTTTGTGCACTGGTGCGCAGTCATGTTGGAACAGGAAGGAACCATCCCCAAACTGTTCCCACGAAGTTGGCAGCATGAAATTGTCCAACATGTATTGGTATGCCGATGCCTTAAGAGTTCCCTTCACTGGAACTAGGGCCAAGCCTAACCCCTGAAAAACAACCCCACACCATAATGCCCCCATCACCAAACTTTACACTTGGCACAATGCAGTCAGGCAAGTACCATTCTTCTGGCAACCCGCCAAACCCAGACACGTCCATCGGATTGCCAGACAGAGAAGCGTGATTCGTCACTCCAGAGAACGCATCTCCACTTCTCTAGAGTCCAGTGGCGGCGTGCTTTACACCACTGCATCCGACGCTTTGCATTGCACTTGGTGATGTAAGACTTGGATACAGCTGCTCGGCCATGTAAACACATTTCATGAAGCTCTCTACACACTGTAGTTGTGCCAATCTGAAGGCCACATGAAGTTTGGAAGTCTGTAGCTATCGACTCTGCAGACAGTTGGCGACTTCTGCGCACTGTGCGCTTCAGCATGCGCTGACCCCGCTCTGTCATTTTACGTGGCCTACCACTGCATGGCTAAGTTGCTGTTGTTCCCAGTTGCTTCCACTTTGTTTTAATACCACTAACAGTTGACCGTGGAATATTTATTAGCAAGGAAATTTCACGGATGAACTTATTGCACAGGTGGCAACCTATCACGGTACCACACTTGAATTCACTGAGCTCCTGAGAGCGACCCATTCTTTCACAAATGTTTGTAGAAGCAGTCTGCATGCCTAGGTGCTTTATTTTATACACCTGTGGCCATGGAGGTGATTGGAACACCTGAATCCAATGATTTGGAGGGATGCCCCTATACTTTTGGCAATATAGTGTATTTATTTATTTTTCCACCCCTGGCTTAGAGGCAAGAACTGAGCTCTTGTAGCTCCAGAGTCCCAGGATTGGTTCTTAGCAGGGACACTTTTGCCCTCACACATATGTTCTCCGGTTTGCCAGGATTTCCTCTGGGGAGTAGTAGATTAATTCTGCTGTCAGTCAGATCACCTCCAATGTGTATATTTATGTCTGTATGGACATTAAAGGAGAACTATGAGGTGAGTGCTTTTCACTCACCTCATAGTTCTAGCCGACCTGTGACAATGAGACTGTCACAGGCCGGCTCAGTAGATCGGGAGGTGAGCGAACACATACCGGCGTTCGCTCACCTCCCGATCCTGTCACAGCTCTCTGCCATGACAGGGGAGGGGCTGGATTCCCCCCTCCCCGCTGCGATCCGCCAGCGCTGACTGGCGGAACGGACGGGGTAGGGGGCGGGTACAGCTGGCTCTGCCTCTAGATAGGCAGAGTCAGCTGTCACTCACGCAGTTGGGCGGATCCAGACATAATTGTCGGGATCCGCTTCAGCTGTGGCGTCTCAGTATACCGCAAGCAGTAGCTCGTGGTATACTGTGGCGTCTCAGTACACCGCGAGCTGTAGCTCACGGTATACTGAGCTTAGGGTGACGGGAGGACGCTAGTTTGTGTCCTCCCATTACCGTAAGGAGAACTATGGGGAAAAGCCTTAAACCCATAGTTCTCCTTTTTAAACTGCTCACTTTTTAAGGACAGTGGCTGATTAAAACCCAACTCTAGACACTCTGTTTTTGTTAGGGACACAGTTAGAAATGTTAGAACCTCTATCACGTTTTTATTACTGCCCCCTATATTCCTGACCTGGTAAGTTTGGGCTGGACGCACAGGAGGGGATGGGAAATACCTCCAATAGTGGCAGAGACGACCACTTTTATAACAGAATTGGGAAAGGTTAGGCTTTAAGTGAGGTTTTTATTACTGGGCATCCTTCTCTCCCTTTCTTCCTCCTTTCATGCTTGATGTCACAAGGATAAAAAGTGAGGGGAAAATCTCCCTGTTGGACAGTAATAAAATCCTACAGAATTTCTAACCTTTTCCTACCCTATTGAAATAAAAACAAAACAAGTTTTAGCTGGGGCTGGTTTTAATTTGCACACAACTCATGATCTGAAGGTATATTTCGGTGACTAGGAGTCCAAGTTTAGAACAGCTGGATTTACTAAAGCAATTTGCAGGTTTTCCTGATGGATCTAAAGACACTGAACATCTTGCTGTCCTGGCCTTTCTTCACCTCTACCTTTCCATCTGCGGGCGGTGAGCGACATATGTCATATAAATATTTCCGCTAGAGCTATTTAAATATCCTGAACAGCCACTAAAGAGTAGTGTTTTATGTGCCAAGTTACTGTCACATATTTCTCAAATTTCTTGATAATTTTGACTGTGTAACATGATGCTGTAGGAACGCCACCAGCATGATCAAGGATGTCTTCAGCCAATGTTGCTGATTAATCCTGTAGCTGGATAGATTTACTGATAAAAAGCACAGAAAAACCACAAACAGTGTTGTTATTACAATAAAGTAGCATCAACTGCTGACAATAAGACCACACAGGTAGATAATGTCTTGTCAGACGTCTCTCCCCACCGTATCTAAGGTTTTGGTGCGTATGGAGTGAGAGAATTATTCATTTGACAGCTAGAGAATCATAGTGATGGAAAATCTTTGAGTACAATATTGAGTTCTTCCTCGTCCCAATTGATGAAAGTAGTGCTTAAAGTGACATTAAACCCTCAGATTTTTTTAACATAAAACAATACTGTAATGTGTGCCTTACGGTAATCCATGGTAGTTTCCCTTCTCTTTGCTGCTCTTCCTTTTAAATCTGTATCTCTTCTCATGCTCTGCAGAACTTCTGTTTTGCAGCAGACTGCCTTGTCTCAGGAATGGATACACGGTGTCTGTGTATACGTTTCTATAGGCTTGAAACCTGAGCTAGCACTACAGGAAGAGGCCCTGAGCTGAAAAGGGAAGTTCTTCCCAAGCATGAGAAGACATGAGGATTTAAAAGGAAGAGCAGCAAAGAGAAGGGAAACAACCATGGATTACAGTAAGGCGCAGATTACAGTATTGGTTTATGTTAAAAAATCTGAGGGTTTACTGTCACTTTAAATAGGTCACATTGGTTCCAAAGATCGAGATGTGTCTAGCTACTTCAAAGCACACCTTTACCCGCCCCATCCACTTTCTGGCATCTCACCCCTACCCCCCTCTACTATTCGAAATAGACTTTTTTAATTCATGTATTTTTTATTATCTTCTTTGGGGAGCCCTTCCTCCACTTCCGTTTATTCTCTGCTAGGCCTGAATGCTGTTTCAGTTGGCCACAACCTCCTGGGATACTCACACACACATCCCAGGAGGACTCTGAGTACTCTGCTGTGCATATTCCCCAGTGCATCATCAGGGGGCTGGCTGGCTGGTTCTTCTTGGTTATCGCAGGTGGCCCCCTGATGACAAGCATAGGCTACAGCACGTTATCAAGGTGACGGCTGCAAGAACCTGGAAGAAACAGCCATGTATGTCAAGGCAAAAATGTTTTCTTTTTTTCTAGGTTGGATAGAGTGGAAAAGATTAGAACACCTGCTGAGTTTTTACTGCTATCTGATGCTCCATTAAAGAGATTTACCCTCACATCCTGTCCTGCTGACAACGGTTTCCCAGGAAGTAAGGCAAAATCTGCAACAGGTACAGAGACAGAAATAAAATCTTACAGAGGTTCTAGCCTTCCCTTACTGTACTAAAGAAATGCATTGATATTTCTGTCTTTGTTGCTGTTGTAGAGTTTCCCTCACTTCCTTTCTGGTAAAATGTCAGCAGAACAGGAACTGAAGGAAAATTCTGTGTAACTCACAGATGGCAGTAAAATCCTGACATGGGTTCTAACCCGTCCCCACTCTATACAGAATTAACCAAAAATAGTTTTGGCTGGACATACATTCTAAAGCATAACTATAGTCGCAACTTTAATTAGCATACCCTCTGAGTCTAGAATTGTACATTAGTTCTTCATTTATGAAGAATAGCTTTTAATGCGACTGTGCTACGCACTGATTTGGTCAGAGTGCATTTTAATTCCTTTAATACCATCTAAGCATAAAAGTTATACTTTGCTTGCCTTTAGCAGTATTATCTAATGACTTCTGCCCTGTTATGTTTGATCTAGAGATCTCAAAGCGTTGAACATCGTAGTTTGGTCCCAGCTGCCTCCAGGAGCTGGTTTGGGGTCTAGCGCTGCTTATTCTGTGTGTCTGGCAGCTGCCTTGTTAACCGTCTCTGGAAGGATTCCGTGGCCAGTTCAAGAAGGCACAGAAGATGTCGGGTATGGAATTTGTTTTGTTGCAATGTGGTTTTGAATAGGATATTTTATAGTGTAGTTCCACATTACTTGTTATTTTTCAGTGTGACTCCCAATATTGATGTATAAAATATCAATTGGATTACTGACATTGTTTTTATGCACTCTCATCTTATAATTTAATGTATATGTTTTATATAGGCTGGGAGATTTATTATCGGTGTTAATCAACTTACTAACTTGGTTATTTCTAAAACTTGATATTTTTGATAGGTGGACAGAGACTGAGTTAAAACTCATTAACAGTTGGGCTTTTCAGGGGGAAAAGGTCATCCATGGGAATCCATCTGGAGTAGACAATGCTGTGGCAACATTAGGTAAGTAGCTGTGTTCAGAAGTCCAGACAGTAGGCTGGCTTGCATGGTCTAAGGGTAAGACCACACATGTGATGTTCTTTGTGGCTACAGTGTAAATCAACAACTATGGGGTCACCACTCTTTGTTCAAATCTCTATGGTGACTGTATGCTTAGTTTATGTGCTGCGTGAAGAGAAACACCCAGTGCATTTTGAATTTCAGACTACATGGTTGTGTGTTATACATCTTCCTAGTACTCTTACATAGCAGCTGTAGGGCCCTGAGCACAATTCCCACCCAGGATACTGTCTGCAGTGAGTTTCAATGCCTTCCCCCAATGTATGTATGGGTTTCTACTGGTATGCATGTATATAACTGTGGTTGGGACTTTAAATTGTGAACTCCTTTATGGAAACAGCTGTGGGAAACAATTGTAACGGAACTGACTTCAGCTTGCTACACCTTCTCTGGTTCCTCAAGTTTTCAATGATCTGGAATGTGAGTACTACATGAACAGGAATACAATGTAATATTTATATACTACTTATATACTACTGCAGAGGTGGAGAAATTGATATGAAATTCAGGAGCCAGTCTGTCCAGTCCAAGAGTAAGCAGAATTTTCTTAGGAGCCAGGTCCATTGACAACAACTCGAGATAACCTCAAAAGTTAGCTACCAGTTGTAATTTGTAAGGATCATCGCCTACCTGGCTCCTGGGATTTCTCCAGACCTGTATTACTGCCAAATCTGTAAATCTGTAATATGCTATTGTTTTAAAATATTGTTCTAGGACGGGGCCAGGATACTCTGACTATGCAAGAGAATATGTATCCTTATGTCGGATTTGGCTTTTTGCCTGATTAGCGTTTCGCTAACAATTTGATTTGCTTCCTTCAGGTGGTGCTTTACGGTATCAAGCTGGACAAATAACGCCAATGAAGAGGTATATATTTTATACTAGCTGTTTCATCTCCACTTGGTTAGTGTTATCTGTGAGAACAGTTCATAGACTGAATGCAACAGATAAATTGCGGGACATGCAATGTAAAATGAAGTAAGGCTGCAGAGCTTACAATCCTGAAGGCCAACCTGATACCTTAAAGCTGAACTCCAGCTATGTACAGTATGTATAATATATAACTGGAATAGTGGGTGTTTTTATATATTTGCCTGAGTTCAGCTTTGAAGTACACCTGTTAATTTCTTTCAATTTATTTTCTTGATGGCTACGGCATAAGCAATAGAAAACAGCACGTTATACTTGCTAGCAACTACTAGCAAGAGATCCAATACAAGAGATCCATCCAGTATTCTCAAATGTCAGTATTATATGCGTACAGCCATTGTTTAAATTGGCCACATCCTTTTTTTTTAAATATAAGTCTGTCAGAGTGTTGTGAGAGCCCTAAAACCCATGGCACCCTCATCTGAAAGCTTGGGTGTTTCCTGTAGGACAGGGATGGCCAAACTGCGGCCCTCCAGCTATGGTGGAACTACGAATTCCATGAGGCTTTGCAAGATTCTCACAGCCACAGGCATGACTCCCGGAGAGAGATGCTTCATGGGATTTGTAGTTTCACCACAGCTGGAGGGCTGGAGTTTGGCCATCCCTGCTGTAGGAGGACTAGCCTGCTCCTTCCTGTTGGTCCATCACTATAATGGCTAGCCCCTTTGGCCAGCAGCATGGTGAGGGTTGTGGAAAGGGGCAAGCCAAACTTTGAATCTACCACAGCCTTGAGTTTAGTTTCTTTTGCACTTTGTTCACAAAGTAAAAAAAATTGATATTTCTTTTTTTATGGGTTACCTGAGCTTGGCCCCAGAGCACACCCAGGTAATTCTGTCCTTGCTCACAGCAACGTGCAGTATACAAACTGGGAATTAAAGGAGAACTATGAGATGAGTGATTTCCCCTCACCTCATAGTTCTAGCCGACCTGTGACAATGAGACTGTCACAGGTCGGCTCAGTAGATCAGGTTCGCTCACACATACCAGGTTCGCTCACCTCTTGATCCTGTCACGGCTCTCTGCCGTGACGGGGGGAGGGGCTGAATTCCCTGCTCCGATCTGCCAGCGCTGACTGGCGGAACGGACGGGGAGGGGGCGGGTACAGCTGGCTCTGCCTCTAGATAGGCAGAGCCAGCTGTCACTCGCAGCTGGGCGGATCCCGTCATCTACGTCGGAATCCGCTCCGGCTGCCGCGTCTCAGTATACAGCTCGCGGTATACTGAGCTTAGGGTAACGGGAGGACGCTAGTTTGTGTCCTCCCGTTACCCTAAGGAGAACTATGGGGAAAAACACTGACCCCATAGTTCTCCTTTTAAGTTTGTATTTTGGCCAAAATATGTAAGCTCGCCACCCACACTAAGGGCCCTCTTGGCTGTTGAGTTGTATGCTAAAGCTGGCCATATACCAGCAGAATTTTGTTTGAATAAATTTGTTTTCAAAATGTTTGCTTGATTTTCTTAGACTGTAGTGATAAAAAAAAGAAATCAAAGGAGCAGGATGGAAAAAACTTTCTCAAACAAACGAAATTCTAACAGTGAATGTGGTTTTCATTTGAGAAACTCCATTCATTTCTAAAATTGATTGTTAAGATCAAACAAAATGTCGAAGTACATTAGTCAAGTCTCTGATGGCATTATCGGATGTTCTACAGAGATTTTTTTTTTGTATAAATGTTGACACAAAAATCTACCGGTGTATGGCCAGCTTCACCTTTTCAGTGTTCACTACTCTTAAGTTTCTGTAAAAATTATGGGGTCTATTCACGAAGCAGCCGAAGGATCTAGCCGTAGCTTCGGCTGATCCTTCGTGGGCTGTCGTCAGAATAAAAAATAAATAAATATATTTTTCACCATAGGAATGCATTGCTAGATTCCTATTGGCTATTTCAACTTGCAATAGCCAATAGCAAACTAGCTATAGCACTCGCCCACTGCTGCAGTTCTCCATCAGGTCCCCACTTGTGATTGACAACAGCAGAGGGCGGGTGCAATAGCTAGTTTGCTATTGCAAATTGAAATAGCCAATAGGAATCTAGCAATGTATTCCTATGCCGAAAATGTCACTGCTAGCTCCGCACAATCGTTTTCTATTTATTTTTTTCTACATTTTTAACTCGGCTATTCACTCACTGCTGTTCGGCATCTATAAGAATAGATCAAACAGCAGCGACTAGCCTGCCGGAGGTTCGGCTTAGCCGATCCAGATGTCGGATCGGCTGAGTCGAACTCCTTCTGCACTTCGGGTCGGCTGAACATGCTGTGCATGTTCGGCCGACCCGAAGCCACCCGATGTACGGCTGATTTCAGCCTATATACGGCTGAAATCAGACGTACCAGTTTGAAGTTAATAGCCAAACAGCGTTCGGGTCACTTCGCTTCAGGTCGGTCATTCACTCGGCTGCCTACGGCAGCTTAGTGAATAGACCCCTATGTCTATATAAGCCCAAAGCAAGTCAGTTTGTTTATAATAAAATATACAGGTATCTATTTCTAGGTGGATGTGTCATGAATCCATTTTAATTCTGCATTCCCTATTAGAGAAACATTCTTTCTGTTTTGCAGCGGGTTGCTGAAATGTTAGAGGGGACTCATTATAATATATTGTGGCCTCTTTCCAGGGTACCGTTGCTACAGATTTTGCTCACCAACACAAGAGTTCCACGCAGCACAAAGATCCTGGTGGCAGGAGTGAAAGATAAGCTACTCAAGGTGCGTAGCGTTGCATGCCCTACTTTTCAACTGCACAGTATTACGGTGCTATGTGTTGCAGCGTGGTTGATCGCATTGAGGCCGGGAGGTGTCTTTGGGGTGCCATTCAAATGCTTTGGCCCTCCACAACAGTCCCACTTTCTCATGAGGCCTCTTAAGAAAATGGATTGGCCACCCCTGTAATAGGGTGTGTAAGACTTCTTTGCAATTTTGCAGCAAATAGCTGGGAACTCGGATACTAAGATGTTACCACTGGAATTTCACTTACCAAAAATTTAAATGTCTATTTAGACAAACTAACCTAAGTCAAATCTTTTTTTTTTTCTGTTTATAATGGATGGATTATCAAAGGGTTAAAACCCACGTCACTTTTTGTTCCATTCAAGAGATTTCCCTCCAATATGTTCTGTAATTTAGTCACTTTGAATCTGTTAAATCTGTTAAAAGGTGTGTGTGTCTATACATACATACCTGTGTGTGTGTGTGTGTGTGTGTGTGTGTGTGTGTGTGTGTCTATACATACATACCCAGCTGGCCGTTTTAATTAAACGGCTGGCTGGGAGCTTTACATTCAAGCGATCGGGCATCTCTGGAGACGCCCGAACCCTTGTATTGGCTGCGTTTTTACCGCAGCCACCGTTGTCAGTGCCTTTGCCGGTCCCGAGATACATTGTGCCCGGTGCGGCTGGGACCGGCACGGCTGCTCTGTGACAGGAGATCAAAGGGAGATCGGTACACATGAGCAATAATTTTAGGGCCATTAATCATTGATGACACTAAACTGATGAGCAGTAAAAGCATTTAAAGAACCGCCTATGGCCAATCACACAATTTTAAGGCATGACATGTTTGGTGTCTATTTACCCAACGTAACCCTGTCTCTTATGTTTTACCAAAAATATTGGTAAGAAAAAATGTTTTTAACATAACGTAGGGAAAATATATATATATATAATTTTTTTTTAAATGAAAATATTTTTCAGTGTTCTTGAGTTTACAATGGTTTTAATGAAGTGGTAAATTGTCGTTAGTATCTTGTATAATAACCACATTGTGCAATTTGTTTGTCTTACAGTATCCAGATATTATAGAACCAGTCCTGTCATCAATGAATGCAATTTCTCAGGAGTGCCAGAGCATCTTAGAAACATCATCTTCAGGATTGTCTGTGGACCAGTATTCAGTGTTAGAGGTAATATAGCTAAAGGAATAGCAATGTTTTCATTTATGTTGTGTAGGCTACAAATCATTATGGTTTCTGTACCTTGAATAGAATGCTACATGTAGAAATGTGTATATAAGGAAAGGACATGTATACCATTGTAGAGTGGCTCAGATGTATATTGCATGTGAGATTACTTAAGATGAAGTCCGAATCTACGTGTTATTGCAGTTTTCTATATCTGGAAACAGCACAATAATTACAAATCTATTCATAAATCATCTGGAATCGTCTTTGGAGTGTGGGAGGAAACCGGAGTACCCAGAGGAAACGCAATCGCGCAGCTGGGTGGCTCTCGACAGTAATGTCGGGATCCGTCCCGGCTGCTGCGTCTCAGTATACCGCGAGCTGTAGCTCGTGATATATTGAGCTTTGGGTCACGGGAGGACACTAGTTTATGTCCTCCCGTGACCCTTAGGAGAACTATGGGGAAAACGCTTACCCCATAGTTCTCCTTTAAGGGAAAGGAAAGTGCTAGCTGCATGTGTGCTGTTTTTTTCTCATCGGGCGAGATGCTCAATAATCCAGGGTGCCTCCCAGCATCATTGGCATGGGAAGATGTCTACTCACCTGACGCTGTTAAGAAGACATCTGCCAACCCTTGAAATGTTGCAGTTTTCCTAGTTACATAGTTACATAGTATTTGAGGTTGAATAAAGACACATGTCCATCAAGTCCAACCTATTGTGTGTGTGTGTAAAGATCCCCGAGTCATCTCGTTTTTAGGAGTACTTGCACCCCTGTATATTACCGTTTCTCAGGAAATCGTCCAAAAGCTTCTTGAACGATTCCACACTATTAGCTGAAATCACTGCTTGTGGCAACGAGTTCCAGACCCTAACCGCGCGAACTGAGAAGAACCCCCTCCGCCCCTTGTGTTTGAATTTTTTTTCTACCAGTTTCAGGTGGTGGCCTCTAGTCTTTGTTACGGAATTAATCGTAAAGAGTTTGTTGCTTTGACTATGGAACATTTTGTACATGAAAATCATGTCCCCCCTTAATCTCCTTAGTTCCAGCGTGAACATATTTAAATTTAGTAACCGTGTCTCATAGCTCTGGTCCTCCATCCCTTTGATGAGTTTGGTCGCCCTTCGCTGGACTTTCTCCAGTTCAAGGACATCCCCTCGTTGTAGCGGTGCCCAAAACTGCACCGCATACTCCAGGTGAGGCCGAACCAGTGATGTGTAAAGTGGCAAAATTATAGACTTATCCCTGCAAAACATTCCCTTCTTGATGCAGGACAGG